TCCGCAACAATGAGTGGTCACTCACACCATGACTGCCGTGCGCAATTGGCTGCCACAAAACACACAGTCACTACACCCGACGGCGTGTCCCGTGAAGCGCTTTGGGACGTCTCGAGGACGGGATCGGGCGCCGGGTGACACCCCGGGAGGGGGGAGGGGGGGGGTTGTTATTGTACCAGTAGTATCGTCACTGACCTGGTAGAGCTGGCCCATGGTGGCGCTGGTTGGAGGAATGACATTGTTTACAAAAAAGAAGAGAGCGTCTTCAGCTCGAAGGTGGATACGCTTCCGGATCAGGAAATAGAACTGCCCAACTGTGGAGAGAGAGAGAGAGAGAGAGATCAGGTCAGCATCACACACACACACACACACACACTTTACACATACACACACCCTGTGCTCACCACACACACACAGGCAGAGAGAGACACACACATACACACAGGGCCAGAGAGACACACACACACACACACACAGAGGCAGAGAGAGACACACACATACACAGTCAGAGAGAGACACACACATACACACACACACACACACATAGAGGCAGAGAGAGAGAGACACACACACACACAGTCAAGAGAGAGACACACACATACACACAGGGCCAGAGAGACACACATACACACACACACACATAGAGGCAGAGAGAGAGACACACACACACACACATAGAGGCAGAGAGAGAGATACACACACACATAGAGGCAGAGAGAGAGAGAGACACACACACATAGAGGCAGAGAGAGAGAGACACACACACACACACATAGAGGCAGAGAGAGAGACAGACACACACACAGACACACAGAGGCAGAGAGAGAGAGAGAGACACACACACACAGAGGCAGAGAGAGAGAGAGACACACACACAGACACACACACAGAGGCAGAGAGAGAGAGAGAGAGAGAGACACACACACACAGAGGCAGAGAGAGAGAGAGAGAGACACACACACACACACACACAGACATGCCCAGAGGCAGAGAGACACCGAGCGAGGCCGTGGGGAGAACCAAGCAAAGAGCTTTGTGGAGAGCTCCGCGGGGCTTGTGGACAAGACCGCGAAGACATCACAATAATCAGCGGGCGGTGGGCGGCCCCGAACCGGAGCGGCGACCGCGTCCGCGTCCGTGGTCTCGGGCGCTCGGAGCGGCCGGAAGCTGGAGCTCACCCGTGAGGTCAGAGGGCACCAGGTATTTCTTCTTATCCAGGTCATCTATCCTGGCTTTAGGGGCCTTCTCTACAATCACCTGCACACACACAGAGAGAGAGAGAGAGAGAGATTCCCATCAGTCAGGTAAACCTTTGTGATCACACACAGAGAGAGAGAGAGAGAGGGTCACGTCCAAAACATCAGGAGTCCCGCAGCTCAGGGGTTAGAGCGCTCGCCTTGCGAGTGAGAGGACCTACTCGCCTGGTTACCGGCAGCGAGTGGGAATGTGGTTGTCGGCCGATTGTGACGGGGCGGCTTTCCGGGGATAATAATCCCCTCACGGAACATACCGTGCAGTCAGTTGACTGTGTATTTGGGGGGCAAAACCCGGCAGCCAATTGCGCACAGCGGCGCCCCACCAACAGCCGCGGACTGAGGACCGGATTATTATTTTTATTTATATATATATATATAAAAAAGGGATTATTACTCCCGGTAAACGATCTGCCAATCGACTAACAAGCGGGTTCCTATTCACTGCCGGTAAACGTGTCGGCGCGCGCACGCGCACGTGCATATGGAGTAAAGAAACTCTCCCAATGTTTCCACCCTGACCTGACCCGCCCGGGAATCGAATCGACCGAACCCGGGTCCTCCCGCCTGCGAGGCGAGCGCTCTAACCGCTGAGCTGTCGCAGGACTCCAGATTTAAAGGGATTATTAAATGGAGGCACCGGTCGCTCGTGGTCTTATGGAATGGCTTTAGTGGAACGGGCTCGAGGGACCGAATGGCCTCCTCCTGCTCCTACGAGAATAAAACCGGTCAGAGGGCTGACGTCATGTCCCAGGACTCCATAGCTGCGAGTGGACAAAATGTCTGACCGACTGCTGCATAGGCCCCTCGACGGCAGCTGTGACTCGTGGCACTGGGACACGCGAATGTTGGAGAGAGAGAGAGAGAGAGAGAGAGAGAGAAAGGATTAATAGACTACATTCTGTTCTGTTTGAGTTTGACGGGTGAGAGCTCTCGGCCCGATTCCACCCGCACCATCTGTGTAAAAATAAAACAAGTGGATCTCGCGCGGGGGGTCACTGAACTGGCGGAGCTCTAAGATCAACAGAGTCCTCTCTCTCTCTCTCTCTCTCTCTCTCTCTCTCTGCACCGGGACCCCACGCGCGGGGAGCCGGGAGCCGGGGAGACGGGGCAGGAACCGCGCGAGGCCGCGAGACTGAGAGGTTACGGTGTTTTGACCTCAAAGAGCGTCTGTTAACGGGAATCGGGACCCCCTCAACGCCGACCGCTCGCGCCGCACTGACCGCTGACCGCACAGGCAAACAGGCGGGTCGGGGGGGGGGCAGGACTCGACCCGGCAGCAAAGCAGCTTCGGTCGGCCTCGCTCCTGCTCTGCAGCACCGACAGTGACGCTGCAGTATTTTTTTTTCTCTCTCTCTCCACCTTCCACACCTCTCGGCTGTCGCCTGAGCAACGACGGCGGATTTTTTGCCGATCAACCAACGGCAACGCCGAGTCACGAGTCAGCAGCACAGCGGTTAGGCTCTTGTCGCTCGGGAAAGGGCCTTCTGCCCTATACGCAGGCGCACAGACCGCTGGCCGCACGCACGCGCACACGCACACCACACGCACACCACACGCACACGCGCGCACCCGCGTCAGACCGAGCCCAAGAGCGAGACAGTGACACAGCGTCTCGGATCTCGAACAGCGCCTTTCCTTCAGTCTCGACCTTCCAGTCATCGCCACTCACAGGACACTTCACGGTCACCCCCCTCTCCCCCCCCCTCCCAGTCGCTGCTCCAACCCTCCTCCGGGAGCCTAGGAAACCAGGAGGAGGCCATTCAGCCCCTCGGGGCCTGTTTCACCATTCGGGAGCTCTGATCTGTTACCTCAACTCCACCGACCGTTTCCCCCCCAACCCTTCGATCCACTGACCTAACAGCAACCGACATTCACACGGTGCCTTTCGCACCGCGAGGACCTCCCGGGGGACCCACACTCTGAGCCGGGAGTTAGGGTCGGGACGGGTGGGTTTTTCCCAACAACAACAACAACAACTTGCATTTCTGATGGGACGATTCAGCTGCGAAGAAAGACGTACACGGGGGCAGCGTCTCCCTGTTCGAAACTGGGAAGCCGATTGATAATGTAGAGATGATGATGATAATAATAATAATAATAATAATCCTCGCGTTTGATGTCGAGTTGCACCACGACACAAAGCAACAGGGACACACCGGAAAGTGAACCGACTGCGGAGCACAGCAACAACCCCACAAACGGCCGTGGGATGAGTGACAAATGTATTGCTAAGATGTCGTAACGGCGGTGGGGGGGGGGGCGGTGGGGGGGTGAAGGGGTGAAGGGGGAAGTGAGATGTGATGGTGGGTTTTTAGATTGCTCTTGGACGCGGTCAAAAAAAACCGTTGTGCCATTTCGTTAGGGATCATTCATAGAGAGAAACATTCACCGCCTCTCTCTCTCTCTCTCTCTCTCTCCCTCCCCCCACCACCCTTCAGCATTGGGACAGTGAACCGTCTAACCCCTGACGACCCGCTGTAAGCGGAACGCACCGAGAGCAAAGTCCTCAGTCGTGTCAGGTGTACAGTCGGTGACGTGCGTACAGACTGCCGGCGTTTGGTCTGAATGGCTCTAACGGGGCTCCGACCACCAACCCCGGCTCCGGGCAGGCGCTGTACAGTCTGGGTTGTTTTGTTTTGGTCGGCCGGGGATGGGGGGGGGGGGGGGCGGTGTCCGGACACACGCAGACCCACACCACCCTGGTTAAGAGTCTCCAAACCAGATAGGTACGTCACTGACACACGGTCATGTGTGTGTCTGGAATGAAATAGGTCTCTCTCTCACTCTCTCCCTCTCTCTCCCCCCCCCAGGAGGGGCTCACCTTGTTACCCTAACCCCGTCGCTGCTGCTGTTGTTGCGGTGGCGGTGGTGGTTGTGGTTGTAATTCCGGAGAGTATGAGGCGCAGGTTGGCTGGCGAGAGCCAAGGCTTTTGGGGCGGGAGCCCAGAGTTCGTTCGTTAGCTAGCTAGCTAGTTAATTAGTTAGTTAGATAGTTAGTTAGTTAGTTAGATAGTAAGTTAAGGCTTTGGCTTGTGGGGTTAACAGGAGCTGAGGGGGAGGATTCAACTTGTTTAGGAATATTCAAAAGAGGGAAGTGGAACGATTTGGGGTGAAAATGAGTTTCCTTAAACTCGGGATCAATACCGCTTCCTGTTCCCATGAAAATCCCCCTCCGCTCTCACTCCCCACAAACCCCAAACCTAACCTCATCGGTGTCACCCCGAGCAAAACAAAAATCCTGCAGCTCAGCGGCCGGAGCGCTCGCCTCGCAACCCAGAGACCCGGGTTCGAGTCCCGGTCGGGCCAAACCTCGGGCGGGTTTCCTTACTCCGCGCGCGCGGTTTACCGTCAGTTAAGCCGGAACCCGCTTGTTAGTCGATTGGTGGATCGCGGCTCCGGGGGTAACAATCCCTTTTTTTTTAAAAAAAAAAAAAAAATTCAATAATAATTCGGTCACTCGATCCACGGCCGTCTGTGGGGCACCGCTGTGCGCAACCGGCAACCGCGTCCCCCCCACGAAACATATACGTCCGATTCGCTTTGTCGCGTGGGCCGCGAAGTGCTTCGGGACGACTCGAAGACGCGACGAAGCTCCTATTGTGGAGGACTATTAAGGACTATTGTGGCTGTTCCCCCAATCCACGAGGGAACGGCTGATGGCGGGAGGGAGGCGGAGAAAAGCTCATTAAAAAAGCTGCTTCGGGCAGCAAGAGCAGGAAAAGGGACTGTTCCCCTATTCCCGGGCGGACCTGTGACCGGTCTACGTCACCCACTAATCCATCTGAGGACACGTTTATTATCCGAGAAGGTACAGCGTTCGGAGCCACGCAGCTCAGGCTCACGTAAACGAGCACTTAGTGACCGACACCAGAGGCCCCCGAGTGTAACCGGGAAAGTACTCACACACCCCCCCCAACGCGCACCTGTTTTCTCCAACGCTCACTTTCTTTCGGTTTCCGCACAGCTGCGACTCTCACCCCCCCCCCCCGACTCCGACCCCCACCCGAGGGCTCTAACCTGCCGACACCCCTCCCCGAGCGACAGCTGCCGGTCACAATGGGCCCCCCCCCACCGTTCCCCAGTCACACCAGCGCAGAGCGATCAGAGCGGAGCTGGTGCTGCGTTGATGCTGATTAATAATCCCCCCCCCCCCCGTCTCTGCGTGTGTCTGTCTGCGTGTGTCTGTCTGCGTGTGCGCGAGTCTGCGTGTGTACGCGTCACAGGGAATCTGCAGTCACTGATCCGCAGTGACCGACACCGACCGACCGACCGGGACAGGTTACGAGTCTTCTCTGAAGGAGGCGCCGTCCTTTGGACGAGATGTTAAAACCCCCCCCACCCCCTCCCCGTCTGTGCCCTGTCCTGGTGGACGTTAAAGATCTCCCACGGCTCTGGGCGGGTGGGGTGGGGGGTAAGAGAAGGGAGTTTCTACCTCTTTCCCCGGATAAAATCCACCGGGAAGTGACTGACTGACACTCGATGGGGGGAGCAGGGTGCGAGAGGGTTTTTCCCCCCCCCCCCCCACCACCACCATCTGACCCATATGGAAACCCGTCACCGTTGCTTAAGAGTCTCCAAACCCGACTGAGAATTCCCCGCACCCCCTCCTCTCTCTCTCTCGCTCGCTCTCGCCCCGGAGGGACACCCAGAGTGGGCGTTGGGGGTGGGGGGTGATGGGGGTAACTGCTGGAGTCCAACCAATAACCATTGGCCATCGAGAGAGAGAGAGAGAGAGAGAGCGCTGTCTGGGCCAAGCTAGGACCCCCCCCTCCCCGCTAGTTGGTGGGGGTAACGGGAGCCGAGGGGGAGGATTCTCTGCCCCCACCCCACCCCAGTGACTGGTCGGCCCCTCCGTGTCCACGGAGTGGGGGGGGGGGGTGTGGCTGTGGGGAGTGCGGGGGGTGGGCCTCGATTCCCGTATCGTGTCACCTTGGGGCCAGTTCAGCTCCGGGGAGACCCCGTTTACGGGCTGTGGGGGGGGGGGGGGTCGGGGGGGTTAAAGGTTAGTGGGAATCTGGAACAGTCTCTCTCTCTCTCTCTCGAACGACTGTGGATTATGTCCGGAGCCATTCACATCGCTCACAAAAAACGCACAGTCACTACATTTTACGGTGTGTCCCCGTGAAGCGCTTTATGAGACGTCCGGACGACGTGACGAGGCGATGGGTGGTATTCGTGGTACACACTGACCAGTACTCTGTCGGGGTGTCGGGGGGAGGGGAGGGGGGTGTTTGGGGTGTGTTGGGGGGGCGGTGTGGGAGTGTCGGGGTGTGGGGCGGTGTTTGGGGGGGGAGGGGGTGTGGAGTCGGGGTGTTTGTGGGCGCGCACTGACCGGCACTCTGTCGGGGTGGGGGTGTGTGTGGGGTATGGGGGGTGTGTGTGGGGTGTGGGGGGTGTTTGGGGTGTGGGGGGTGTTTGGGTGTGTGGGGGGAGGCTGTGGGGCTGTTTGGGGGTGTGGGGATTGTTTGGGGGTGTGGGGATTGTTTGGGGTGTGGGGGTGTGTGTAGGGGGTGTGGGGGGGTGTGTGTTGGGGTGTGGGGTGTGTGTTGGGGTGTGGGGGTGTTTGGGGTGTGGGGGTGTGTGTGGGTGTGGGGTGTGTGTGGGGTGTGGGGTATGTTTGGGGGTGTGTGTGGGGGTGTGGGTGTGTGTGGGGGTGTGGGGTATGTTTGGGGGGGTGTGGGGGTGTGTGGGGTATGTTTGGGGTGTGGGGGGGGTGTGGGGGTGTGTGTTGGGGTGTGGTGGGTGTTTGTGGGGGGGGGTGTCCGGGGGGGGGGTGTGGGGTATGTTTGGGGGGTGTGTGTGGGTATGTGTTGGGGTGTGGGGTGTGTTGGAGTGTTGGGGTGTTTGGGGGTGTGAGGGGGGTGTGGGGGTGTGGGTGTGTGTGTGGGGGTGTGTTGGGGTGTGTGGGGGTGTGTTGGAGTGTTGGGGTGTCCGGGGGTGTGGGTGTGTGTGTGGGGGTGTAGGGGTGTGGGGGCGCGCACTGACCGGCACTCTGTCGGGGTGTGGGGGGTTGTCCGGGGGGGGTGTGGGGTGTCGGGGAGGGTGTGTGGGGGTGTAGGGGGTGTGTGTGGGTGTGTTGGGGTGTGGGGGGGTGTTGGGGTGTGTGGGGGTGTGGGGTATGTTTGGGGGTGTGGGGGTGTGGGGGCGCGCACTGACCGGCACTCTGTCGGGGTGGGGGTGTGTGTGGGGTGTGGTGGGTGTGTGGGTGTTTGGGGGTGTGTGGGTGTGGTGTGGGGTGTTTGGGGGGTGTGTGGGTGTCGGGGGGTGTGGGGGTGCGCACTGACCGGCACTCTGTCGGGGTGTCGGGGGAGGGGAGGGGGTGTGTTGGGTGTGGGGGGGTGTGTGTGGGGGGGTGTTGGGTGTGGGGGTGTCGGGGGGTGTGGGGGTGTGGGGCGCGCACTGACCGGCACTCTGTCGGGGTGTCGGGGGGAGTGTTGGGTGTGGGGTATGTTTGGGGGTGTGGGGGTGTGGGGTGTGTGTGGGGGTGTGGGGGTGTCGGGGGGGTGTGGGGGCGCGCACTGACCGGCACTGTGTCGGGGTGGGGGGGTGTTTGGGGTGTGGGGTATGTTGGGGTGTGTGGGGGTGTGTGGGGGTGTGTGGGGGGGGTGTGGGGGTGTCGGGGTGTGGGGGCGCGCACTGACCGGCACTCTGTCGGGGTGTCGGGGGGAGGGGAGGGGGGTGTGTTGGGGTGTGGGGTATGTTTGGGGGTGTGGGGGGTGTGTGGGGGGGTGTGTGGGTGTTTGGGGGTGTGGGGTATGTTTGGGGTGTGTGGGGGGTGTGTTGGGGTGTGGGGTGTGTGTGGGGGGGTGTTGGGGTGTGGGGGGGTGTGGGGGTGTGTGTGTGGGGGTGTGGGGGCGCGCACTGACCGGCACTCTGTCGGGGTATTTCTTGCGGATCTTCTCGCCCTCGGATCGCCGCTTCTCGAAGGCGTGTTCCTCCTTATACTGAAACTTCATCGTTCCTCTCGCGGTCCCTCTCCTCCGGTCTCTCCCCTCTCACTCTCTCTCTCTCTCTCTCTTCTCGTCCTTTCTCCTTCTCTCTCTCTCTCTGTCTCTCTCTCTCCGTCGTCTGTAGAGGGGCCTCGGGGGGTGTCGGCCTCTACCTCTCCTCTCTCTCTCTCTTTCGCACTCACACACTCCCTCCTTCTCTCTCTCTCTTTCTCTCTCTCTCCTCCTCCTTCTCTCTCGCGCTCCCTCTCTCCCTCTGTGTGTGTGTGTGTGTGGGGGTCGAGTTGTCAGTCTGCGGTATCTCTCCTTTTCTCTCTCTCTCTCTCTCTCTCTCCTTCTCCCTCTCTCTCACACTCACTCCTCTCCTTCTTCTCTCCCGAAAAAAAAAACAGCCGTTGGACTCCCGAAGACGACGACGACGACGGCGGCGACGTGGGGCCGCGGAGCGATACACCTCCGCCCTCTCTCCCTCTCTGACACCAAAACAAAATAGTTCCCCCCCCCCCGACCCCCCGGATTTTTTTACCTCAGCGACTCCCCCGCCGACCGCTCGGGGAAGGGGCTGCGAGTCGCCAGGTTTTATTGGGGAGGGGGGAGGGGGGTTTGGGGGTTTTTTTGGGGGGTGGGGGCGGTGTTTGTTGTTGTTGGTCGGAACTTTTTTTTTTTGGGCGGGCGGCGCGTCCCGCGCGGAAGGATTCATCCGCCTCTCGGCGGTGAGGCGGCGGCGGTGATGCGGTCCGGCTGACGTCACAATCGGCCCGGGGGGGGGGGGGGGGAGATCACGAGACGACGCCGCCGACGCCGCCCCTCCTCCTCTCCCTCCGGGTCACGTGGGACCTTCCCCCCCCCCCCCCGCCTCCGCCCGCGTGACGTGGCGCGAGCGGATGCCGTTGAGACAGAGCGAAAGCCCCGCCCACTCCTCTCTCCCCCCACGCCCGCCCACTCCTCTCCGCCCGCCCACTCCTCTCTCCCCACGCCCCGCCCACTCCTCTCTCCCCCCACGCCCCGCCCACTCCTCTCTCCCCACGCCCCGCCCCCTCCTCTCTCCCCCACGCCCCGCCCACTCCTCTCCCCCCACGCCCCCCACTCCTCTCCCCCACGCCCCGCCCACTCCTCTCTCCCCCCACGCCCCGCCCACTCCTCTCTCCCCCCACGCCCCGCCCACTCCTCTCTCCCCCCACGCCCCGCCCACTCCTCTCTCCCCCACGCCCCGCCCACTCCTCTCTCCCCTCCGCCCCCTCTCTCCCCCGCCCGCCGCTCGGCGCAGCAACGCAGCCGCCGGGGGTGTGGGGGGAATGCACCCGCGCATGCGGCTGCAGTGAGCGAGCCACGCAGCGGTGCACGCGGTCCCGGCCGCGCGCGCGCTGTTGCGGCGCGGGTCTGGGTGCGGGCTGCAGGCTCGGGGTGGGGGGGGTGGGCTGCAGGGGTGCAGCCGCGCATGCAGTGGCACGGAGCGGTGCAGTGTCGCAGGCGGGGGCGCGGGGGGGAGGAGGAGGGGTCAAGCGATGGCAAGCTGCGGGCGCGTTGGGGGTTGCAATGCGGCCGCGCCTGCAACTGCCCGGGGGGGGGGGGGGGGCAATGGGCGACGCAACCGTGCATGCCACCGCAAGGTGTGATGCAGCGGTGTGCACCGCTGCACAGAGCAATGCACTGTTGCAGGCGCGGGTAGGGGGGGGGGGGGGGCGATGCGACTCGAGAGGCAAACCGCAGGCACCTTGGGGGGGGGGGGGGGTCGCTGAGATAGAGAGACGGAGAAAGAGAGACGGGGAGATATAAAGAGACGGAGAGAGAGAGAGG